CATATACAATTTAATTCAATACCTAAACTTCTATATTTATCATTTAGTCTCATTCAACTTGTAAAATTTGAGAAAAATCAAGTTTTGACAAAAACAGCACTAAAATCCCATAATATAGAAATCTGTCACATGTTTCTATATACTAAAAATTATCACAAACTATTGACAGAATTAGCACTTTCTTGGAATAATTGCAAAACAGCACCTGTTATGGTTTTGTCCAAAAATTGCTAAGAAAAATGGCAAATTCCAATCTCAAATCGTTAATTTAAGTATTTAGCATCATATACTCAAAAGAAAATCAAAGAATATGAATTTATTTAACAAGCCCGTTTCCAATTTTTTTACATTCTTAAACTACAATATACAATTAAACATTTCTTTGCTATTATCACACTTCAAACCTCAAATAAGCACTAATAACCCCTCATTCTTGTTAAATTTCGAATTTAGGGAAAAATCTCATAAACCCTAAAATCTAATATCATCATTCAATAAATAAAATTTAGGCTTACCTTCAAGAATTGAGAAGAAATTGAAGATGGTAACCTCTCTTTTTTCCTTCTTCTTCTCTCCTCTTTTTCTTTCTTTCCTCTCCCTTTTTCTTTCTTTCTCTCTACACGGTTTCTCCTTTGCTATATCTCTCTGTTGCTATGTTTCTTAGTTCCAAAGAAAGAGAATGGAATAGATAAAGTCAAAGAGTTAATAACTATAGGCCAATTTGCAAAGTTAAGCCCCCATTTTCCTTACCATATATAATTTAGTCCTTTCATTCCTAATGAGGTAAACTAACTCCCTAGGTTTCTACATCTATTATCTTTAGTCCGTCAAGTATCAATAATTACCAATTAGAGCCTATAGGAAATATTTTATTCTATTAAATTCTTGTTTGACTTTGATTTTGACCATAAGTGGATGATGTGTAACACAAGTGAATCATTTGTCTCCATTGTTGTTTGTTATTGTAATGGAGGCTTTCAGTAGGATGCTTGAGAAGACTGTGGGGGAGAGTTTGTTAAGGGGCTTTACGATTGGTCAGTTGCAAGTTTCTCATTTGTTATTTGCAGATGATATACTGATTTTTAGTGATGCAAAAGTTGAGCAATTTAGGAACTTGCACCATTTGCTTCTGTGTTTTGAAGCTGTCCGGATTGAATACAAATCTTGGGAAATTGGAGGTTATTACAGTGAGAGAGATCGATTGGGTTGTAGGGTTGCGCATTGCTTGTCATAGCTTAGGTTTCCTTTGGGTGCACGGTTTAAAAATATTCATATTTGGGATGGTATTATGGAAATGGTGGAGAGGATGTTAGCAGATTGGAAGCGTATGTATCTTTTAAAGGGAGGTTGTCTTACCCTCATTAAGTCAACTCTCTCGAATCTCCCTATTTATTTTCTGTCATTGTTTCCTATTCTTGTTGTAGTCGCAAATAGATTAGAGAGAATTCAAAGGGTGTTTCCTTGGGGAGGGTTGAGGGAGGAGAGGACATTTCATTTGGTTAATTAAGGTGTAATTTTTTCTCCTATAAGGTTGGGGGTATTGGATTGATGAGACTTGTATTGTTTAATAAGGCCTTGTTGGGTAAGTATTTGTGCTGATTCAGAGTGGAGGGGGAGAGTTTTTGGAGATAAATTATAGGAGTGAAATATGGTGTGATAGAGGGGATTGGTATTCGGTTGAGGGTCGTGGTTCTTATGAGGTGAGTTTGTAGCGGTATATCCGACGAGAGTGGAATGATTTTCGGGATAGATGACTTTTGTAGTGGGGAATGGTAATAGTATCAGTTTTGGGATGATTGTTGGTGTGGATATCAACCACTAAGGGTAGGGTTTTCTTCTTTGTATCTCATTGCTTTGATGCATTCTGCTATGTGAATGATGCCTTAGCTATACATAATAGGAGTCTCAACTAGAACATTGTTTTCGGGAAGGGTTTACAGAAGCTCGATCCAGCAATATCGCGTGAGTGAAGAAGGGAAATGCCGCTTGTAATTGGAGGAGTATGCGTTGTTTTTTATCTCTTTGTATGAGGTGCACATCCGGGGAGAAGAGGGTGTTTGTAGCAGGTGGAGGTTGTCACGGGGTGATATTTTTTCTGTTTTCACTTATTTTAGATCTTTATTGTGACTTTAGAGAGTTCATTCCCCTAGAAGATAGTATTTCGATGTAAATTACATTTTTTCTGACTAGCAGCCACTCTGTGACTGAGACACGGCCCGGACTCCCGCGGTGGGCAGCAGTGGGGAATCTGGGTCAATGGGCGAAAGCCCGAGCCAGCAATATCGCGTGAGTGAAGAAGGGAAATGCCGCTTGTAATTGGAGGAGTATGCGTTGTTTTTTATCTCTTTGTATGAGGTGCACATCCGGGGAGAAGAGGGTGTTTGTAGCAGGTGGAGGTTGGCACGGGGTGATATTTTTTCTGTTTGCACTTATTTTAGATCTTTATTGGGACTTTAGAGAGTTCATTCCCCTAGAAGATAGTATGTCGATGTAAATTACCTCCGCGGGTAGCATTTTTACTACGGACGGTTGTCAGGGGGCAAGTGTTAATGGTGAATAATATTCAAAGAATGGGTTTTTATATTACCAAGTGGGGGTATATGCGTAAGAAGGATGGGGAGACGATTGACCACTTGTTCCTTCATTGTGATGGTGCTCCTTTGCTGTGGAATGATACTCTCACTTCTCAACATATGGATTAGGTGTTGCAGAAAGTTTCGTGATAAGGATAGTAAGCTTATTTAGGACCTTATTCAGGGCTGCGTTGTATGGTGTGTGAAGAGAAATGAACAACCACTATTTTGAAGATCAAACACGGAACAGGTTAAAGAATTGTTTTATCTAACTTTGTGTATTTGGTTTAATGCTGAGGCTCATAGTCCTATAGAAGGGCTGTCAAATTTCATGTTTATTTCTTGTTTAATTTGATATTGATTAATAAAACTACTTGATTACCTTTAAAAATTCTATTTTTATTTACATATTCCTTGGAACTCATAACCTTTATCTACTTTTGAACCACACATTTCTTGAGACCCATCGCTTATAAGCACTTAAAGCTTAGTCAAATTTAAGCTTAGAGCATATGTAATGCGTTCTATGGATTGCAGTCTATGTGGCAAAGAAATAGAAAGACTTGTAATCTAGGTATTATTATATAGGAAAATTTCATATTTAAGAGATCAAGTATAACTAATTTCAAAACTAAGAAACAATGTTTATTATTTCAAAAATCATATATTAATTAAATTTTATTTATGAAATAATTAACTAAAATATATTTTATTAATTAAACATATTATGATCACAATTACTTATTTATAAAATGTCACAAATTATTTTTCAGTTACAAATCAAAAATTTCATGAAACAATTTATTTTTCAGTCACAAAGAACAAATTTTATAGATCGCAACTTATTTTACGGTTACAAAATAACAAATTTGATAGGTCACACTTTGTTTCACTTTCACAAAGTATCAAATTAATTGTTCAAAATTTACCAAATTTTGAATTACAATTACAAATTTAGTCATAATCGCACATTCTTCTAAGTCACAATCACACATTCTTCTAGGTCACTGGTCACAGATGAACAATTTATTAGTAATGACATCCAAATAATTGGTCACAAATACCCTTCTCACCCTACTCCCACCACTACCTATACAACACCCCCACCACCATGAGCATCGCCTCCAAAACCGCCACCACTTCGCTAGCAATACTATAACACCTACAAAAACCATCACCACACCATAGCCACAGCACACCACAACCGCTACTGTCATCTCCTCTATCTCCATCTATACCACATAACTACCATCACCCCATCAAAAAATTCACAAACTTGTCGCCACCATCGCACAATAACACCGCTTCACATACTTCAAAAACCACAACAAAACATGCCGCAAAATCACTACAAAAACCATCGATCTTTGTGCATCAGGCAAAAACACCGATATGTAACTAGGAAAATCACTACAAAAATCGTCGATAAACTATTGGAATGCCACGATCTGTGTATACCAGGTAAAACTATGGATTGCTACTGCCCGTAGAGGCACATCTGCGTGAAGAGATACACCTCTGCACCTCAATGTCGAAGGTGACTTGTCGCCGAATGTGGTGTTGTCGGAGAAGGGAGAGAGAAGGGTTGTGGAACTCTACGGTTCGCAGCTCCGATGCTACAAGTTCGTAGTGCTGATGCCAACAGCAGTGCTGGTTGCTGCTTCAAGTAGCGGTCTTTCACCGACAATAAGAATAGAGAGAGAAGGGAGAGATGTCTACCGGCTTGAATGATTGCCCATCATGTGAGGGAGGGGGGAAGATGGGAAAGGAAGAGAAAGAAAGAAAATGTTAGTGTTTTGATTAAATTTGGTAGGTTGGATCGAATAAGGTGGGGTGAATATTGTATATAATACTAATATTAACTATTGAATTATTATCTGATTTATGAATAAGTAAATCTTATATCTTATTTTTGAATTACAATCTTTAAAAATCTGTCTTGGTGTAACTTTCACTTATTATATTTAATGGATAGATGGCCAGCTCAAAGCCGGTCTCCAGTGGGTTCTTTCTACAACCCAATAATGCTGCTTAGGTGGCATTTATTTTGTTGAAATAAAACCATAAGGGTTCGTTTGATTGCGAATGTGAAATTTGGGGTGGAAAGAAAATGAATTACAGGAAATTGAATTGACTAGAATTTGTTTTACTGGGAATTGTAATTAATTGTATTTGATTGGTATTACCCCCCAAAATTAGAGGCTCTAGGTCAGCACTCCACGTGGACTACCACGTACACAGCAGATCCATGTGGACTGCCAAGCGTTCCTTATAGTCAAGCGAAATCAGAGCCAATTGAAAAGTCAATAGGGGAGTCAACAAAGTCAAGGACGACAGATAAGGCCATTGTCCGAAGGCATGCAATTGTCGAAGCTGTATCTATCCGATGTCCCCTTTAGCTCAAATAATGAAGGTCTGCTTCAAGCCTTTCTATGTGATGCATAGGCTCCTCATGTCCGAAGTACTGAAGCACCGAAGCTCAACTGCACCAGATGTCCATAAGTCCGAAGCTGAACTCAACGCACTAACGCCGACGCTGCCTCCCAACAGATTAGAAGATCTCATAGAACTGATTGATGGGACGTCTGTAATAAAGTGTCTGTAGCTTTTGATATGTCAGTATGTTAGCCTATTACTAGTACGGCTGACCCTTTGTCAAACATTGAATACGATGAATGGACAATGATGTGAGTCTTTGGTCTAGGAGATGTTGCCACGTGGATGTGATCAGACGGTCACCACATCGGATAGTTTAGTATAAATAACCTCTCTTTGCACTAAAAAGTGGGGGATGCAATCAAGAAATAGAGAATATCTTTATACGCTTAGCTTTGTTTTACAAAACACGCTTAGCTTTGTTTTACAAAACACAAGGAAGAACACACGTTGATATTCAAAGAATATACAATACATTTTCATATCTATCATTCCACATATTCCATTACGAAAAGAGTGATTTAGTTAAATAGATCAAGCATTCATTGATAGTGCGAGTTGCTTCTCAAACCTAATCGTCGGAGTCCGAACATTTGTGTCTTTCGCCGGAAAGTGCCTCTCACGTTCATTACAATCAAATCTCCGTTCCTATTCTGGAAGAAACGTGCTTGATGAGCACTTGACGTAGCAAGAGTGAGCTCGACATCTGTTGAATTCATTTTTTGGGGTCAACAATTGGTATAATTTGTCACTTAGAAAATGTTCAAAGTTTGGTATCCTTTTGGCTTTGTTTTTCATGAAAATTGTCCATTAAAGTGATAATTTTTTACCATTTGGTCTAGAATTTGTTCCAATTGTCAAAAATGAAAAATAATAAAAAATTATCATACCGAATACCATTCGTTTGGCATTATTTTGCATGAAAAATTGACAATAAAAGTGATAATTTTTTTACTATTGTGTTTAGAATTTTTTCCAATTGCCAAAAATAAATAAGTTCAGCAGACCTGGAAACCATTTTCTTAATTTGGTGGAATTGGTGCACGTGTGGATGGGGTGGGGTGAGGTGGGGTGGCAAATTTTTCCATCAAATAACCATAAATCATGGAAAATAGAAATTGTTTTCTATTTTTCATGGAAAAGAAGGGCTATCAAACATGGAAAACGAACACACAAAGACCTCATTTCTTTTATGATAAATTGATTTTTTAAGACCCAAATCTCGAAATCAAATCATCTCCAAAAAATTTCTACTCTGATAAATTTATTCTTCAAGACCCAAATACCCATCGTCTCCAACAATACTAGGTAGTCCAAGTCAGAGAAAACGTCAGGTTTTCTTTTGTATATGAACTTACAATAAAAACTATATGTTTATGTGTAAAGAAAGTAATGGAGTTTTGGATTGATGGAACAGAGGAAGAGAGCAACATGCATAATTTTTCTTGTGTTAAATCCAATCATGCTTTAATTTTTTTCCCTGGGTTATTAGCATGAAAACGTCTCTACGTTTGGAGTTCATTGAGCAAAACGTCCTTACGTTGCACTTTTTTACAGTTCCATCCTTATTTTTACATTTCATTGCGGAAAACATCATGTCCAACCATTTCTCAATAAATATATGTGAAATGAAGAATATACTATCATATTTAAATAAAACAAAAAAATAAAAAATAAAAAACTAATTGTAATCATAATTTCAAATTTTTCAAAAAAATTATAAATGAGTCCAAAATAAATAATTAAAAATCAAAACTAAAAAAAAAAAAATCACTTCATTTTCTTCCCCTTTATTCACCACCTCTTCGACCCACCGCCGCCATTGGAATTTTTTTAAAGCACAAGATTCAGACAACCAACCTGGTGTTCTGATTCTCAAATCAAATCTAGAAATATTTAGCCGAATGAAAACTGCTCCTAAGGGTGTTCTCTATCTATTCAGACAACCAGCCCGGTTTCTTGATTCAAGTCTATGAAAGGGAGAGAACAAGGATAAGGGACAACAACCTTCTTGGTAAATTCGAGCTCTCTGGCATTCCTCAGATTACCGTGTGCTTTGACATTGATGCCAATGGTATTTTCCCGCCACCATTTTTCTTAAATCTACCACCCATTTTCTTCCTCGAGTTCTTAAACTCTGATTCGTGGCTTGGAAACCTGAAGATTGATCCAGCATTACCCATCTCCTCACTTTGAGATTCATTTCTATTTTCTTGGACGGGGTTTAATGTAATTCTTGGCTAAAGTATGAAATGAATTTCTAATGGGCATTTTACCAAACACCTCAAGAGCAAGTTGAATGAGCGAAGTCGGATAGTTGGAAATGTCCAGAATTTCAACCGTAATCTGAATTTGAAAAATAAATAAGAAATCGATTTTTCTCGAAAATTTTGGTGAGTGCAAAACCAGAAACCAATTCTTCTCTGAGGATGTGTTTTCAATGCGCTTCTCAACCTCGTCGTCAGGCATGTTCTGTAAAAATCTGTCCCGACGAGTTCATAAACACGTTTCTTTGAATTGGAGGAGACCATAATCCACTTCATGAATAATCAAAATCGAACCTTGAATCGCCTCAATCGGACATCGGGAAAAGAAGATATGACCAAAATACTGAAAACTGTTTGGAAGAAGTTTCATAAAACCATGCGACCGCAAGCCTTGAATTCCATGCGGCCACATAGACCATTACCACAAGTTTGAAGGCTGAGTTCATTTGTTCCATGCGGCTGCAAGCTTCTAAACCAAGCGGTCGCATGGTTCATTTCCGACACGAAAATTTTGGTTTCCTAATTTAAATCAACTACCTATGGGAACAACTATAAATACATATTTTAAAACCTTAGAATAGGAGCAGAACGTACAAAACGCCTCCAAACTCAATTCTTCATTATTTCTTTTTTAGATTCATGAATTGTAACTAAACTTTTACACTTGGTCGAAGGAAATTGAAGTCTCGGAACCACATATTGTGATATCTAAATACTTTTTCTTATTGTTTAATTATTATTTTGCGTATTGAATATTCTTCTACACTTATTTATATGATTGTTATGTTTAATTGTTAGGAGGCCTACTAGTTTGTTATTCGTTACAATCTACCGCTAAGTTTAATATCAAATCTGTAATTGTTTGATCCCTTTAACCCTTGAAACACTAGGATTTGACGATTTTCTGCGATAGATGTATTGAATTTTAAGAAGAATGTTTAAATAGATTGAATACAACCGCAGGTGTTTGTGTTATCTAGTTCATCGATTTCTCTATTGTGTAAAACTGCTATTAAATTGAATCTTGAGCGCTAGTCTGGGGTTATTTAATAATTATGGTTAATTAAAACGTTGGTTTCTAATTAACTAAAATTAAGGAGAAATATGATTCAATTCCAACGATGAATATTCGAAATATGAATTGAATTATCCTTGCATCTTTGATCAATTGTGGATTTTCGACGGTGGATGTGGCTTAGACCAAAGTTAGTCTTTTGATTGTTTTCGTTAATTTAATTTTCATTGTAATTGATTACGTTATTTACAATTGTTTGCATACAAAAACCCTCCCAATTATTGTACGAAGCATAAAATATTGAATTACACACTCTTCGTGGGATCGACCCTTACTTCCACTACTAAATTAGTTTTAAAAGTTTAAGGACTATTTTTGGGTGCCTACGACAGCACACCATGATGATCTATTGTGATCTTAAGACTGCTGAAATTGTCTTGCCTAAAACATTTCAAGTTGGAGCCATTATTGCAAAATTACCAAGTTCATGGAATTACTATAAAAAGAAACTCAAACATGATGAAACCAAGCATACCCTGGAATCCCTCATGCGTCATTTGCGTATAGAGGAAGACTCGTAAACGAGAGAATAATGATCAAGCGGAAGAAAAAGGAAAACATGGTTCAAGGAAATCATAAGGGTAACAAGAAGCATAAAAACTCCAATTCTAAGGGAGATTATGCAGAAACCTCTAAGAAAAAATTCAAGGGGGATTGTTTCTACTGCAAGAAACCTGGTCATACTGCTTGTGAATGCCGACATTGAATAAAAGACAAGAAGGCAAAGAATGAGAAGATAAAGAAGGATCAAGTAAATGTGACTGATGGAAATTATGATCCAAACCTTGTTGCTGTGATGGAAGAAGCCAACTCAGCCGGAGTTGAAGTAGGATGGTGGCTGGATAGGCCACATAAATTATAAATCCATTAGGAACATGCATAATTTAGGAATTATTCTAAATGTGAGTTTGATGGTGTTAATAAATGTGTTCAAGGCAAAATAACGTGTAAACCACATAAATCTATTATGCGAACATCTGAATTACTTGGTCTTATACATTCTGATGTGGCTGATTTGCATAGTAGAGTTTCACGTGGAAGGAACAAGTACTTTGTAACCTTTATAGATGATTTTTGAAATATACTTATGTATACTTACTAAAAAGTAAAGATGAAGTTTTAAGCAAATTTATTATTTATAAAGCAGTAGTGGAAAATCAATTAAATCGAAAAATTAAAGTCCTACGTTCTGATAGAGGAGGTGAATACCAAGTAGCAGAATTAGCAAAATCCTGTGAAACTAATGGTATAGTACACGAGTTTACTCCACCATATTCGCAAGAATCAAATGGAGTAGCAGAAAGGAAAAACATGACTTTAGTTGAAATGGTGAATTGCATGCTTATTAGTTCTGGTTTACCTGATCAATGATGGGGTGAAGCACTCTTAAGTGCATGTTATACTCTAAATAGGATTCCTATGAAGAAGATTAACAAAACTTCATATGAGTTGTGGTACAATCGGAAACCTAATATTAGTCGTCTCAAGGTGTGGGGATGTCTCGCATATGTGAGAAAACCAAATCCAGAGATTACTAAATTAGAAAATAAAATTTATAAATGTGTATTTATAGGTTATGCAAGAAACTATATTGCTTATAGGTTTCTGAAGTTAGAATCCTATGATGTTATCGAATCAATTGATGCTGAATTTTTTGAACATATATTCAAGTCTTCATCTATGCAAAATGAAGATAATATTACTTCTAGTTCTTCTAAGAAAGTTCATGAAGAATCTCTTGATGATACTTCTGTTGAACCACAATCTGAAATAGAACCTAGAAGGAGTGAGAGACAAAGGAAAGGAAAATATTTCGGACCTGAATTTGTGACTTATTTGCTAGAAGGTGATGTAAATAATATTACACATCAGACTAAGCTAATGCTTAATGATGATAGTGATCCTGTTACATATTCAGAAGCTATTTCTTCTCGAGATGCTATATTTTGGAAAGAAGCAATCAATGATGAAATGTGATCCATTATGTCAAATTAAACGTGGAAATTGGTTGATTTACCTCGTGGTTTTAAACTAATAGGTTGTAAATGGATTTTTCAAGAGGAAATCAAATGCAGATGGCTCTATAAATAAGTATAAAGCTCGATTAGTAGCTAAATGTTTTAAACAACGTCATGACATAGATTATTTTGATACTAATGCTCCCATAGCAAGGATATCATCCATCCGCAGGTTGCTATCTCTTGCTTCAACTCACAATTTAGTTGTCCATCAAATTGATGTAAAAACGACTTTTCTGAATGGTAACTTGGAGGAAGAAGTATATATGGAGCAACTGAGGGTTTTGTTTTGCCTTGACAAGAAAAGAAGGTTTGTAAACTAGTCAAGTCTCTTAATGGTTTAAAGCAAGCCCTTATTCAATGACATGAAAAGTTTAATAAAGTAATGTTATCTAACGGTTTCAAAGTTAATGAAGCAGACAAATGTATCTATTCTACATATAGAAAATGTGCATGTATTCTTATTTGCTTGTATGTAAATGACATGCTTATTTTTTGTCCTAATTTAGAAAGTATTAAGGAAACCAAACAATTGCTAGAGTCTAACTTCGACATGAAGGATTTAAGCAACGCAAATGTGATCTTAGGGATTAAAATAATAAGAAAAGATGGATGCATATCGCTGAATCAATCTCATTATATTGAAAATATCCTTAAAAGATATGGTCATATGGATCATAAACCCGCATCAACTCCGATAGATCTTAGTATTAAGTTAATGAAAAATACTGGTAGATCTTATGACCAACTACAATATGCAAATGTGATTGGAAGTCTTACGTATGCTATGCATTGCACAAGACTAGATATTGCATATCCAGTTAGCATATTGTGTCGATTCACTAGTAATCCAAGTAAAGAAAATTGGAATGCGGTTTCAAGAGTTCTAACTATTAATTATGGATTACATTATCATGGATTTCCCGCTGTATTTGAAGGATACATCGATGAAAGTTGGAACAACATAGAATTAAATTCTAAATCACAACAGGCTGGATTTTTACTTTAGGAGGTGCAACTGTTTCTTGGTGTTCTAAGAAACAAACATGCGTCTCAGATTCGACTATGTTGGCAGAATTTATTGCTTTGGCTGATGCAAGTAAAGAAGCTGAATGGCTAAGAAATTTGCTAATAGATATCCCATTGTGGGAGAAACCATCTCCAGCTGTGATGATCTATTGTGATAGTAAAGCTACTTTGTATTCGGTAGCGAACAAGACTTACAATGGTAAGCAACGACATCTTAGTCTTCGACATCAGTCTCTTCGAGGATTACTTAAGCAAGGAGTAATCACCGTTGAATATGTAGAGTCGAAGAATAACCTAGCAGATCCTTTGACAAAAGGACTGACTAGAGAGATGATTGCGAAAACATCGAAAGGAATGGGATTGAGGTCTACGTAACTTCAGTTAGCTTTAATGGGAACCCTACTTATGTTTTGAAATATAAACAAAGTTCAAAGGGTACAAACAAGTTAAAGTCTAACTTAGACAAGACACTAGAGTAGTAGTTAAAACCCATTCATAAAATCTCTAGTGTATGTATTCTGCATGGTAGAGGCTGGATTTAATTCCTTAATAAGTTCTATTGAGAGAGAAAGTAACTCGCAGAATTACTTTATAAAGAACTTAGCTATGTGAGTGAGAAAGTCAGGCCGCTTTCTATGAGATTTAGACCGTCTCTAAAGCACTCATGAAATTCGGGATATACGCAAGGCCATTAATGCGTTGGTATAAAAGAGACACTCTTTATCGGAATAGTATGTGTAATGACTCCGGCTAGTCATAATAGGGTCCTTGGTTCAAGATTCGTTCACCATAGCACCTTGACAAAACTTTGAGTTGTTTACACTAAGTGAAAGTTCAAAGTCAAAAGCTACTTTCATTTATGTACAATTTCCTGCGTTGATGCCTTTTGTGTGTGTTTGCATGAACTACTGGTCAAGGAATAAACTGTAGGAGCTTTGTGCACATTTGAGAGGTGAAATATTTGCTAATTATATTTAATTTTCTTCAGTTCACGACTCAGGCTTCTTGGCGGATAGATAATGGTTTAGTGGCACACTTACGATGCATTTGTTCTCTGCTCTCAGGTGAATTGGCTTCTCAGGAGCTTTGCTTCTTACATTGTCTTTTGTTTCAACGACTTTTGTAAGTTCTGTTTTTGGGTATCAGAGGTTAAATTGTATATTTTTTTAATATAGTATCTGATGCTGTTTGATTATGGATTTATAAAGAAACTATATAATATGGGAGTGTAATATTTTTATTTGACATGTTTTGGTGCACTATTGCGAATTCGCCATAATTCGTCCTGCTAGGTGCGCGTAATAGGACTGACTTGAAGGAAAAATATTTCATACTTCATCCCCGTTTGGCACCCATTTTAGGGTGTTGAAAATTTTTGGAATAGTGATTGATGAGAGAATGTGTGGTAGAAAAGTAATGGAAAATTTTAGATTTGTGTGTAATATTATTTTATTTGATAAATGTGATTGAAATGAAGAGAGGAAAAAAAATTAATATAATGTAATAGAAATGATTTCCACTTCAACTCTTTTTATGATTTTCCAAGTTTTGCACCACCTACTCCACCCACGCGCCTACTCTCCAGCTTTTGGAGGAAAAAGATTTCTTGTTGTTTTGGTTGGTTTTGATTTTTCAATTTTTTTTTTTAAATGGAAAAAATTCTAGACACAATGTAACAAAAATTATCACTTTTATTGACAATTTTCATGCAAAACAAAGCCAAACGAATGATATTCAGTATGATATCTTTTTTTTTTAAATCTTTTTTTTTTGTAATTAGAACAAATGCTAGACTCAATGGTAAAAAAAATTATTATTTTAATGGACAATTTTCATGAAAAACAAAGTCAAACATACACAAAGCTTTCAACATTTTTCAGGTAGAAAATTATACCAATCAAATACTCAATTCCCAGTAAAACATTTTCTTTCCACCCAAATTTCACATTTGCAATCAAACGGACCCTAAGTGTAAAATCATTCTCTACAAGTTGAAACTTTGTCGGATTTTCATTACAACTAATACAAACTTTTGAACGAATCTAAATGGGATGTACCCTCACGCACAAAGTACCAAGAGTAAATAGATACACGAGAATAGATTATTTGGAAAAGGACCATGATATGTGTACATAACATGGTACATAGGGGTGTACATAATGTGAGAGGGGTGGGGCCCGCGCTACAGTAGCGCGGGCCCCACCCCTTTCACATTATGTGTATTGCTATGTACACATAGCAATATTCTTTGGAAGTCCTCGTTTGTTTTTATCAGGTCTAATACGGGGACAAGTAAATGAATATGTATATGATTATCAGGCCTCGTTTGTTTGTATCAGGTCTAATATTACCCATAGCATGTTAACTTTGTAACTTGTCTTTCTGAAAATTTTCCTCACAAATTCTTTCATTAGTGATAAAGTTTCAACAATTTATTCATTGGAAAATTGTCAGTCTATAAATATTTTCTTATGATGCCTCGTTCATATAAAAAATATCTATATTTTTTTGTTTCTGTATTTGGCTTATTTTCTAGTAGTATTGTTAATTTGAATGAGTTGAGTTTAATTATTAAACCCACCCATGGATCCGAAGAAAAACAGAAACTAAGGGGGGGAAAAGTTATCTTTGACACAAGGAATAACCGGGAAAGAGAATTAAACCTGTGAAAATAAATAATTTCAACTAGAAATATTATCTTTATTTGCATAGAAACTGTTGATATAAATAATATATTTGCACAATCAATTTTAAAGATGCATTTGCTTTGATTTGGTCCATAGTCTACACATTCAATGTTATCAGACTACACATTATATTGGTTGGTTTAACTTTGTTTTTGTCCAAAATCCAATGAAATTTCGTCGAGTGTAAACTTCTAAACAAGTCTGTAAATATGATTAAAGGGAAAGAGAAAGAATGAAATGAATCACATGGGAATTGTCTACCAGCCCTCTAAATTAGAACGATAAAATTAAATTAAAAATATGGAATCCAAGTAGCGCATCTACACGAGAACGTTCATTGCTTGAAAAGAAAAATATTTCCAATTTTTCGAAAAAATTAGTTAGGTGAAGTTCATGGCTTCCACAATTTCATCATGCTATGTGTACATAGCATAGTACATAGGGGTGCACATAATGTGAGAGGAGTAGGGCCCGCACATAGCAATATTCTTTGGAAGGACCATGCTATGTGTACATAGCATAATACATAGGGGTGTGCATATTGTGAGAGGGGTACCAGCATGCATGCTAGGCTAAATATTTTTTAAAAAATTGTCCTGGGGAATCCTAGTCAGTTGAGAGGACTACTTGTTGATATCATTGCACCTCAATTGGCATCTGATGCCACACGAACTAAATTTCATTCGCAAATGTAGCATAAGTGTGCCATGCATTAATCAATTGATTGTTGAAGAAGATAATTATTATTGAAAGCAAATTTTGGAGGTCATTTTAGTGTTGCACACTACTTGGAAGAATAAGTCCACATCAAATGTTCTGGTCTAAAAACCTTTGCCAAACAAATCTGAACTCACAAAAAATAAAATATGGAACACAAGAAAAGAAGTTCCTGTTTGGGTGCTTCTGAAGAATATTAGTATAAGAATATGAATATCTGTTCCGCACAAACACACGGACTGGATGGAGGAACGGAGTGGAAGAGGAATGGAATAGTTTCTTTAGCATAATAACATATTGCAAAACAAAGATGCCCTGAGACAATTCTAAATTCTCATGCCTTTATAAGGTGTCCCTCCTCTCTCCGGCCTCAGATTCAAACTTCAAACTCTTGAAACTACACTCTCTTGTTATATAGTTTCAGTCTTTTAAAAATCTTCATAACATTTCTTCATCTTTTCAAATTAAGTCATTTCGTTCATAAGTTTGATAAGCCACAAGGAAGAACTGAGGGGTAGAAATGGGAGAAAATGAATGGTTGAATGGATACTTGGAGGCTATACTGGATGTTGAAGCAGGCGGAAGAAGAGCTATAGAAGAAAGCAGTGACGGGAGTAGCAAAAAGAAAAGCATTTTTTTAAGAAAAAGGTTTGATGAGAAGAATCAAATCCACAAAGTAAAGGAAGAAAAGCATTTTAGCCCCACCAAATACTTTGTCGAAGAAGTTATCAATAGCTTTGATGAGGCTGACCTTCACAAGACATGGATTAAGGTTTGCTGCCCGCCCGTTCTATGGCAAACCTTCACGAATTAATAAATCTTATTTTTAATAAACTTTTGATCACACTTAAATGATTAGCTTTGTGCCCCATTTGTAATACTGTTTGGCAAATCTAGTACGAATGAAATGCAGAATAATCAAATATAAGTGGAAAATGACATGAATGGGCAGGTGGTCGCCACAAGGAATTCTCGTGAACGCAGTAACAGGCTCGAAAATATGTGCTGGCGCATCTGGCACCTTTCCCGCAAAAAGAAACAGGTTACTCCTCTCACCTCTACTATCTTGACAAATGAAAAATTATGTACAAACTGGTTTCATAAGAGTGAAAAGTTACTACAACAGATGAAAATAGGGTAAAAACACATAACCTAAATAACAAATGAAAAATAACTTAATCAATACATTTGCTACAAAAGATTAAATGTTGAAGTTGCAGATAGCTTGGGATGATGCACAAAAACTAGTAAAGAGGCGACTTGAACGTGAAAAAGCTACAGAAGATCTTTCTGAGCTCTCAGAAGGGGAGAGAGACAAAACAGATTCCAATCAATCCGATTTTGTTACTGACATTGCAAGAATAAACTCTGATAATCAAATTTGGTCGGACGACAAATCTAGGCAATTGTACATTGTCTTGATAAGGTAACAAATTCACGTATTATTTGTTATTTTTGCTTGTCTAAACAACATGAACCGTGCTACAGTGTCAGATACCTTGACATAATCGTTGACATAATACACATGACATTCCATCATTAGACTATTTTAAACACAGTCAGTTTTTCCACTGAATCACCTGCTGTAACCTTGGATTATGTCACTGCATCTGTTAAATTTCTTCTGGCAAAGTGGGAAAATCCAAACAACATTAAGAAATTGCTGACCGTACATAAAATAAGGTGTAATTTTTCATGTACAGGGGTTTTAAATAGATTCTTGAAAACAACCGAGCTGCAGTGCCTCCCCGACAGAACACACACATCAGGGGGAGGGAGACATTTTTTTTCATTTTTTATTTCATGCGGGTCCCACGTCGGTCCCACACTCATCTGAGGTTAGGTCAACTAGGTGGGCAAAAATCAATTCGGGCAAACTAGCTTAATTCTCTTGAAAAAGGCATGTCTGAATCAGTAAAAGCAAGCGCAAGTCACTTCAATTAATAGCCATACTATAATTTCTTATAGTAAATAAACATAATATAACTAAAAAAGATATTACCAGAGTTGGACTGAGTTTCATGAGATTTTTGCTGTTTATTATGCAGTCTTCACGGATTGGTGCGTGCAGAAAACATGGAACTTGGACGAGACTCTGACGCTGGTGGACGGGTATGATGCTATTAGTCCTAAGTCTGACTCTACTAAGGTCGAAATTGGGTATAATGAAATGAACTCATAAAAGTTTGAAAGCAACTCAGCCCTCCACCCACACCCCTGAGAGAGAGAGAGAGAGAGATATGTACCAAGTAGTGCAATAACCAACCTATTTAAGATGATAAACTAAATCTGACTACTATCATAGCTCAACTTTCTGTCTTGCTATAACACTTGCAGGTAAAATATGTTGTGGAATTAGCTCAAGCATTAGCCAACATGAATGGAATCCACAGAGTAGATCTTCTTACTTGACAAATCACATCCCCAGAGCTTGACTCCAGCTATGGCGAGCCGATTGAGATGCTGTCATGCCCATCGGATGGGTTCGGTAGCTGTGGTGCCTATATAATTAGAATTCCATGTGGTCCTCGTGACAAGTACATAAATTTCATCTATTTTATTATGCTATTCATCTCTCAAACTAAACCACATCCAACCTATATCCAATCTCAGATTTGAACTTTACAGTACATAAATTTCATCTATTTTATTATGCTGTTCATCTCTCAAACTAAACCACATCCAACCTATATCCAATCTCAGATTTGAACTTTACAGAGGATTGGAACTAATTCAGGAGCTATAACAGGTATATTCCTAAAGAATCACTCTGGCCTTACTTACCTGAATTCATCGATGGGGCTCTAGGTCACATCGTCAACATGGCAAGAGCTTTAGGAGAACAAGTCAATGCTGGAAAACCGGCATGGCCTTATGTCATTCATGGTCATTATGCTGATGCCGGGGAAGTAGCAGCACACTTGTCAGGAGTCCTAAATATACCAATGGTTTTAACAGGGCACTCACTAGGTAGGAACAAATTAGAGCAGTTACTTAAACAAGGAAGGCTCTCTAGGGAGGACATCAACACAACCTACAAGATAATAAGACGAATTGAAGCTGAAGAGTTAGGGTTGGATTCTGCTGAAATGGTAGTGACAAGCACTAGGCAAGAGATTGAAGAGCAATGGGGTTTGTACGACGGATTTGATATACAGTTGGAAAGGAAGCTTAGAATTAGGAGACGGAGAGGAGTAACATGGCTTGGAAGATACATGCCAAGGATGGTGGTATGTATCTCTACTCGCTATTTTCTTTATGCAAAGTATGACTTCTCGTAAGTCTCTTCTTCTTTTTCCAAAAAATAAAAATAAAATAAAATTTGAATGATTAGGAGCATATGAAGTCAAACTTCGAGGTTCTACATAGACGATAAGAAGTGACGTATACACATGCCAGAGTGAAGTTCATGCTGAACTATAGTAAAAATCACACAGTATGATATAAATGGCCTATATCAACCAACTTTTATCCATTTGTGGGATCAAAGTTCAAGAAGGCAAGATAAGGTAAAATAATACTTAAACCTGTCCAAGTTGCGTCAATTGTAGTCCGTAAGTATCCAGATAAAAAATAATGAATCATGATACGTGTACACTATGTTTTACATTATCCTTTACATTGTGTCACGTGACGACATCACATTGAACATTTTTGAAAAACATAAACTTTCCTGCCAACACTTTTTTTTTAAACAATGGATTGTCAAGGATGATATCAAACTTTTAATGTACTTAGCATTGTTGAAAAATAATAATAATGATTTTGTAAGCAATCCTCAACGTTATAATTTTTCCACAGGGCAACAACATTGTTGACAAGCTTCATTCCATAAATAACACGCAACATGATTTTCCTCTATTAGGGTCATTTTGAATTTGAAATATCATTTTCTGTTAATGCTAGCGATCTCAGTTGTGATCCTTTGTGGAATTAGGTTATACCACCAGGCATGGAGTTCAGCAGTGTTGCAACACAAGATTCATCTTATGGCGATGGAGATCTGAGATCATTGATTGGCACAGACAGAACCCAGAGAAGACCTATACCTTCAATTTGGTCTGAGGTTAAAATCTTTATCATTCACATGAAAGTGTAAAAATTAATATGTTTCTCTAACACACCAATCAAATAAAGCTGATTACTCTTTCTTGAAGCTAAAGTGTTTAACATTTTTACAGCAATCTATGGTGTAAAAACAAGAACAAAATAAGAAAATCATACTGTGCCACTAATCAAAAGGCAGATGGCGTCTTATATATGCTTTTGACAAAATTTTGTCGAATTTTGTTCAAATGCAGATCATGCGATTTTTCACAAACCCTCACAAGCCCATGATACTAGCATTGTCCCGTCCAGATCCCCAGAAAAATGTCACCACATTGATCAAGGCATTTGGGGAATGTCAACCCCTTCGAGAACTGGCAAATCTGGTAATAATTGTAAGTTAATGTAATTTTAGACAGTCCAGCAAAATAATTGTAAGTTAATGTAATTTTAGATTGTCCCTGCAGACATTGATACTCGGAAACAGAGGTGACATAGAAGAGATGTCCGACAGCAGTTCAGTCGTTCTTATGACAGCTCTCAAGCTTATTGATAAGTATGACTTGTATGGTCAGGTGGCATATCCAAAGCATCATAAGCAACCAGAAGTCCCTGAAATATATCGTCTAGCAGCAAAAACTAAGGTGAATCATTTAGTAAACTTGACCATTTTAATGGCAGTAAACATGAACTTTCACTTTAATCAACCAGTAAATTATTGACACCTTTCACCCAGGCAATTTTGCAGATCTCAACACCCGGCCCATTAATAACCAATATCAACAAAAGTTCCCATCAGTCCTTGTATATCTTTGTTTTTTTAATTAAACAACTATAGCTGGAATACTTTATGAAAATAAAACATAGTACAGGTGAATATATTTATGAAAACCAGCCTACTATTTCCTCCTTACTTTACAACATTTAACCTCTTTTCTTTAAATAGCAACACTGCTGACATTAACACTTCTACGGTGAATTTGCTTCTTCAAGGGAGTTTTCATTAATCCAGCTCTGGTGGAACCATTTGGTCTCACTCTTATAGAGGTTAGTTACCGCTAGGTCATTCTTCACTTATAACTGGCTAAACTGACAGCACTACCATATGGAATCTTGAAATAGTTAAAGGCCACACTTTTCTGCAGGCAGCTGCTTATGGAATACCAATTGTCGCCACGAAACATGGTGGACCTGTAGACATACTGAAGGTAACTAGATGGCTAATCTAACCTTTATGAACTGAAGGCAAGAATACCCAAGTTTTGATGGGTATTCCACACTTTAGGTTTTGACAAAAAATTGAGATCCAGATCATGCCTGATTAAATCTGCAAACTGCTGCACCTCACATGAAGGTGAACTATTAATCTGTTACGTGATCTAATATATAAATTAATCAGGCACTCAACAATGGCGTACTAATTGACCCATATGACCAGAAAGCCACATCAGAAGCTCTTCTAAAGCTTGTTGCTAACAAGAACCTCTGGCACGAGTGCCGAAAAAATGGTCTAAAATATATCCACCGTTTTTCATGGCCAGAGCACTGCCGTAGCTACCTCTCCTATGTTGAGCAGTGCAAAAACCACCACCCTAATAACCATCTTTCTGTCATGCCAATTCCTGAGGAGCCGCTGAGCGAATCACTCCGTGGTGTCGAAGACCTTTCTCTAAAATTCTCCATTGATATAGATGTCAAGGTTAGCGAACATGATGCGCCTAATAAAGAGGAGCTCACTGACATTCTAATCCAAAAAGCTAGTTCTATTGGAAAATCCATCAACATCTATTGTCCAGGGAGAAGACAATGGCTGTACGTAGTGGCTGTTGACTGTTATAGCAGAAATGGAAGTCCTACTAAGGCATTACCTTTAGTTATCAAAAATGTGATGCAGGCTGCACGATCAAAGTCAGGTCAGATAGGTTTTGTATTATTGACAGGTTTAAGTCTAACTGAGACAAATGAGGTACTGAAAAGTTGCCAGGTAAAATTGGAAGACTTTGATGCATTGGTTTGTAACAGTGGAAGTGAAATGTACTATCCATGGAGGGACTTGATAATAGATGAAGACTAAGAAGCACACATTGAATATCGGTGGCCTGGTGAGAATGTTAGATCGATAGTAACGAGGCTTGTCAAGATAGAAGATGGAGCTGAGGATGATGTTATGCAACAGATAAATCAGTGCGGCTATCTATGCTTCTCATATAGAATCAAACAGGGAGAGAAGGTAAGACTATAAGTCAATGTTCATTTATTTAAACAATTAGTGAAGCCTTGAAACCAGATATGAAGAATAAAATATCATAATCAATGAATACGTGTGACACAGACTCGGAACATTGATGACCTGAGACAGAGGTTACGAATGAGAGGCCTGCGATGCAATCTTGTCTACACACATGCTGCATCGAGATTGAACGTGATACCAGTATTCGCATCAAGAGACCAAGCTCTAAGGTCTATATTATAATTTGCATTTCATGTTTTTGTTTAACAAAAAATAAATAAACTGCACCAGAAATCAAACTATAATTTCCGACATACCTTTCATCTATGCAGGTATCTATCAGTTAGATGGGGTATTGAACTTCCCAAAATTATTGTATTTGTGGGAGAAAGAGGGGATACAGACTTCGAAGGCCTGCTTGGAGGTCTTCACAAGACTGTTATTCTGAGCAAGGGCGGACCCACATGGGGTCATGTGGGGTCAAATGACCCCACAACCCCACAAATTTTTTTTTTTTTTTTTTTTTTTTGTCTTTTAAAAACCTAGACATTATCCCTTTTTTTC